GGGGGGGTTGGGGGCGAAAGCGACCTAACGATAGAGCTAAAAACACAAGTGGGGGAACGCTAGGAGCTGATCTGCAAGCCCTGTACAGGGTTCCAATTTGCCCCCTTCCCTCCATTGTGCAAAGCTCACTTCACTAAATTATCAGTTCAGTGCAGCTTAACTGAGGGTTTCTGTTCAAATTTCACGGGAGGGGAGCACTTCAGTGTGAAGGATGAGGGAAAGGGTGGCCTGATAGGACAGCCCCCATGCTAGGGTCTGGGAGTTTTGAAACTTTGAGCATGGATGGGAAAAGCGCGCAAAATAATGGAAGAAATTGATTTTGGTGGGAGTTGGCCTCTTATGAGGAGAGCAGTAACGGCTGTTGAATAACGGTAACGAGAAGTTGATGGATGTGGAATAGATGACACGCTGTGTGGCGGGAGAGAGGGTCTGATCTCCTGGAGGCAAGAGGGTCAAGGGAAGATAGGACAGCAAGCACCATACAGAGCAACGCATGGCCCTTGTTATGAAGGAACTATTCTCAACGTTTGGAAGTGAATAAATCAAAGTTATATTCTGACGTTTGACCCGGTTACTGCTCCACGGAATGTAAGAAGCGGTAGAGTAAGAAAGGGAATACTAAACAAAACTGTCGTGGAGTGAGGTGTAGGACGTTAAGTCTGCCTAGCTCGCACCGAAGTTGGGCCTAAGAAGAGTTGTAAGTTCAGACATCAGTTCGCTGACAGGAAGCTTTTCTAAAAGGAGAACCCGAACAGACTAGATCTACTCAGGTAGAGGAGACAATTGAGTTAGTGTGGGGCAGATCTAAAAAAAAACCCAACAGTTGTGTGGGAAGGAGGGAGTGTTATCGTGAGTAAAATCTGTGAAATTTGGGATACTTGAAAAATTGACACTTCCGATGGTGGCTCATTGCTACCCAGACGGGATGATGATCAAAATATAGAAATGCTTTTTGTACCTCGGACGTATCGCAGTCTGCTGTATCAGCTATCTATGTGTTCGAATATTTGACCCAAAGATGTGTCAGAAAGAGAGAAAGAGAGATAGAGAGAGAAAGGGGGTGGGAGAGAAAGATAAAGAAGAGAGAGAGAGGGGGGAGGGAGAGAGAGAGGGGGGGAGGGGGAGAAAGAGAGAGACAGGCAGAGAGAGAGAGAGAGAGAGAGACAGACAGACAGACAGACAGACAGACAGACAGACAGACAGACAGACAGACAGACAGACTACTAATAGACAAAGTGTCTATGCATGTGGGAATCTCTGCAATTGTATGAGAAATATAGATGGAAATAGAGGGAGGGCGACAGACGGACAA